ACGCAGGCGGTGCGGGCTCCGAGGCGCGCAGCAGCCTCCTGCAGCTCCAGGCCTGCGCTTCTCTCGCCTGCAGAGGCCCAGGAGCGGGCGGGGGAAGCGCCCTGCAGCCTCCCTGCCCTCTCCTGCAGGGGAGCGAGGGCCGATGCACCCTCTCAGGCTCGTGGGACCTCCGCGAAGGCCCTGCTCGGCCAAGCCCTTCGCGCTCCGCGAGCTCAGCCGCTCTGGTGCTATGCAGCGTTCAGAAAAGCTGGGACCAGCAACACTGCTCCAAGAAGGCACAAGACCCGGCTCTGGAGCTGCGGGCTTGAAGGTGACAAAGTCCAGGCCAAGACTTCCACCCTCCTGGTCACGACGACGTTCAGATGTGAAGTTCAGGCGGTGACAAAGGCCAAGCGCTTTAGCGACGCTTGGCGCGACAGACGGGCTTTCCTTCGCCCTGCCCTGCACCGGCCCGGCTTTCCCGTCGCACAGCAGAGAAGTCCAGAACCCAGCCGGAGCTCGGGGCCCAGGGCACCACGTGTGCCACCAGCCCGGGCAGGGCCACCCGGCAGCCAGGGAGGCCACAGAGCTACGCAGCCCCGGGCGGGCAGCGCAGAGCCCGACCCGTCCCCTTTCCCCAGGGCACCCCCAACCGCTTCATCCTCCCCGCTGCCTTTTCTTCGGGACAGGTTTGGTAGGGCAGGAGGGGTACAGCCCTACGGAGCCCAGCCCAGCACCTCCAGCCCTGACCCGCGCTGTTCCGTAGCCCGGCACAGACCTCACCAGCACCCAACCCTGGCCGCGCTGGGAGCTGCCTAAGCCTCCCGCAACCCTTTCTCCCCCAAACCCAAGCCGGGAGCAGCTCCGGCTGGCACACCAGACAGCAGAGCGGGAGATGTCCAACAAGGGGCGAGGGTGGCGGAGTAAGAAACAGCCGCCTCCCTCCAGGCCTCCTCCCTCCCCATCGGGGTCGGCTTTTCCCATCCGACCTCCGCAAGCCCATCTCTGCCTACTTGCCCACGAGGCCACCCGGAGCAGCCCAGCGGCTGGGAAAGCACCTCCAGCACCAGGGAAGGTCCTGGCTCCAGCCTCGCTCCTCCCAGCCTGGGGGCAGCTCAGGCTTCCTGGCGCTGGAGCAACCAGGCAACACGGCATTCCCGTAGCGGGGAGAAGAGCTGGAGAAGGGTTTTACCTGCCCTGAGCGAAGGGCAAGCAGGACCACTGCTAGGCCAGAGCTGGTGTTTTACTAGTCCTTTCCCGCTTGGAGAAAGCCGAGGCCAGACACCAAGCTGCCACCAGAGTGCCTGCTCCCGCGGGCCGCTTGCCAGGGTCAGGTTTGGGGAGGTGACAAGACACAGCACATTCGACAGCATTCAACAGGGAACCAGTTTAATCAGACATTGGGTTTGCACCGTTCTTTTCAGTATCACAAGTTTTGCATTTTCTCTAAGAAATACAAAGCACTCTCGGGTTGTACAGAACGCTGGTCCCGGCGAAAACGAGAGGGAGAGAACGAGACACTCGGATACAGAGACGTCGACCGCCGCGCTGGGTGGCGGAAAGGAAACCCCTCGTCCCCCCCTCGCCGAGGGTTATGGTCGCTTTATGGGGGGAAAGGAGATCCCGGGGGCCTGCGCCGCAGCAGCGGGGCTGTGGCCAGGAGCCCCCACCCGCCTGGGGTCAGGGTACCCCAGCGGGACGCCTCCGCACCCCCGAGCGCAGCACTAACGAACACACTGCTTCCACAACGGAGCAAAAACCCCTTGACGAGCATCCAGGTTCATCTACTCTAGATAATAATAAACTCAGAGCCAGGGTAAGTTACTTCATCCACAAGGTTAACAGCTGATTCAATAGGTTGAACACATGCTACTTACAGCACATAAATAGAACTTGCTCTTTTTTTTTTTTTTAAACTTAAAAAATACATTATGAAGGTCTACGGTGCGATTGCCTAGACACTGCCGCATGCAGACGACTATCGGCCTCCACAGAAGCGGGCTGCTCCGGGCAGCGAGGAAAAGCTGTCTCTGCAGCAGCGATCCCAGGCGTCACGGGACAGCAGCCGGCCCCCGTGCTGGCGCGTTATCCACGCAGCCGCTAAATAAATACAGTGCTAGCTAGGAGAGGGATTTAATACAAACTCTGGGGTTGTTTTTAAAAAGAAACATTCATCCATAGAGGATTACAGTTAACAGATATCGTCATCACTTTATTTCTCAGAACCAGAAATAGTGTTGAACAAACAAACAACAACAAAACAAAAAAAGGACACAGCATGTCATTTCCAGAAGTGCAACCAGGGTACGGGGCAGCTCTCAGCGAGGCGAAGGGCTGCCGCAGCCGGGAGAGGAGGGGAGCCGCGGCAGAAGATGGCAGCTCCCGCTCCCGGCGGGCGCCTGACCTTGCGACGCTCTCCGAGGGGATCCGTCACTGCGCCCGCTGCCCCGCCCCGCACGCGGGGCCCACGGCACGCAGGACCACCGCGTCCCCCGGCGCCCACCCCGCCGGGGAGCTGCGGAAAGGTGAGTGCAGGCAGGTACCCCGAAACAAGAGACCTTAAAATAAATAGGACCAGAGCTTCTTTACAGTAGGCAATGCACTAGCTTTACCATGAACAAAACTAAGACTAACAGTCGCTTCTTGCCAACGGAGAAACTTTTCCTCCTTTTCACATTTCCCGGCCCCCTGCCCTCCCCGCCGCGGCGTGGCTCCGGGGGCGGCGCAGCAGCCAGTCCCGTCCTCACACCAGGGCTCCCCATGCCAGCCAAAACAATCCTCAGCAGCTACCAGCAGCTCCGCACCGTGACCCAACCGTGCGGCTCCGGATGCCACCACCGCCGACAGCCGTGATCCAGCTGCCTCCTCCGAAAACGCTTCTTCCAGAGGGAAGAGGGGCAGGGCGGGGGCGCAAGCAGGGCCTGACCTCACCCATACTCCCCCAGCACCCCACCGCAGCCCAGGCTGGGGGGCTAGCGCAGGGCTGGCGGGGCGCTGCCAGGGCTCACCGCCCAGCCCGGGCTGGGGGGGCTAACGGAGGGGACCCCCGGCCCCGCTGGGAGAGGGGAGGCAGGGCAGCGGCGAGAAGGGGGCCGGGAGGGGGACCGGGGGCAGCGCTCACTTCTTCGAGCTCTGCGTCTTCTTGGGCAGCAGCACGGCCTGGATGTTGGGCAGGACGCCGCCCTGGGCGATGGTCACGCCGCCCAGCAGCTTGTTGAGCTCCTCGTCGTTGCGGATGGCCAGCTGCAGGTGCCGGGGGATGATCCGCGTCTTCTTGTTGTCGCGGGCCGCGTTGCCCGCCAGCTCCAGGATCTCGGCCGAGAGGTACTCCAGCACCGCCGCCAGGTACACCGGCGCCCCGGCGCCCACCCGCTCCGCGTAGTTCCCCTTCCGCAGCAACCGGTGCACCCGGCCTACGGGGAACTGCAACCCGGCCCGCGACGAGCGCGACTTGGCCTTGGCCCGCGCCTTGCCGCCGGACTTCCCCCGGCCCGACATGGCCAGCAGGCAGCGGCCCCTCACCGCCGCCTCCCAAGTAAGCGCCGCGCGCAGACGGTCCCTCCCGGCGCCTGCAGGGAGACAAACGCCGTTACACCGCGCCGTTACCCCGCGCCGCT